TCAGGATATGCATAAACAAGTGGACACAAGGAGAATGAAAAGGATCTACAAGAATAATAAGTTTTCCCATTTTCTTCTAAAAATGGCCCATGGAAAAAAGCAGTCCACTGCATGAGACTGCTCTCACCACATAGTCTACAGGGATTACCCTCGTCTTAGCAAAGAATGCTATTTCAAAGTGTCTTAGGTGTCATCCTTGAAGTGACCTCATTTAAAGTCATGGCTGTTCCCTTAAGAATATTGTGTGCTTGAGACAACATGCAGAAGCAAAAATCGGGTGATTGACAGCCTAGTGGCTTTGCAGACTGAGAACCAATACAAGAAAATCAACAAAACAAATATAAAATATGACAGGCATGACTGTCTGATAACAATTTCTTGCACCGATACCTTTATTTGAAATTGATGACAGATAAGTGGCATCCTTAAGCGCATTGTTATAAAGATTATAGCAACCTCTTTACACTTTTCAGATAGTCTTTATCCATCAAGAATCTCTATAAGTTCAGCAGGGCAGTCTGTTAGATGGTTGAGGCCCAAAGACAGAAGGCTAAATACGAAACTTCTTACTAAGACATACTAAACCCCCAATTCCACACTGCCAAATGCTCAAGGGAGATACTAAATGTCTGTCTTTGAATCCAGTAGAGTAAACCCATAATGCGGCTTGAGGAGCTATGTCTTGTTCCTTTTCTTTTGCCTCCCCCAACCATTGAGGTATCCATGACTCATCTGATGAATTGACTTGCGACAAATTGCCAGCACAAGTTTTTTCCAGAACATATGATGTTGTTGCAACTATAAACCATATTGGTATGCTAGGAAGCAGAGGATGTTAAACAAATATGCATTTGCCCCATGAAGTATTTAGGAAATATAACTGTTAATGCAAAGGACATGTATCATTGTAAAATTGAGAAAGCAAAAACTCGGAAAATTTGAACTTGTCTGCTTCAAGGCATTTTGCATAATTTTCATAAGCTTTCCTTTAGCAAATCATGGCTTCTCCTTTTCTTCTTGTATTTCTATACAATAGAGTTACCGTTCTTAAATTTTGTGGGGTAGACATCTTGTTCTTGTAAACGAATTCTATTACAAATTTCATCAGGAAAAAGAAACAGATATGGATAAACACATGCATAGATAAAGATATATGGATGAGTGTTTACATTTTAGGTGTGTTACTTTATATTATTCATCAAGGACAGGCAAAACATGTGAAACTGCTGAAGTGGAACCAAGGCTAAATTGATTATTAGACTTCATACATCAAAAGCCTTGTGAAGTTAACCCACACTTTAAGTTAAAATGAATTTAATGGTAAAAGAAATCAACTAAAGTCCAACTTAGTTAACCAATCTGACAGCCCAAATAAGGATCCAAAGGAAGGAGTCAATTCTAATCATTCAAAAGATAGAATCCTGATTTTTATTCTGAAGGTCAGATCCTGACCGGTAAAAAGGATAGTGAGAACCCATCATTTATAACAGTTCCTTAATGATCAAAGAAAATTGACATTGGAGCCTCTACATAAGTTGAATATTCTATTTTGGAGAACACTAATCAAACAAGAGCTATATATGGTGTAAAGAATACAATCACAGAAAAACAATATGGATAAAAGAGTGGAACATATGGACAAATGTGCTACTTACGTCTTAGCAGCCTGCCTGCCTTTCCCAATTGACGTGCCAAAGTACCTCTACAACAAATGCCATTATACATCAATATGTGAAATGAAAGTCAACCAAGATGACCAAATAAATCTAAATCAGTAGCCATATCTTCACGGAAATTATTGTTAGAGTGGTACAGTTACTGACAAATGCATCAAGTGTGTGTTTCATATGAAACATTAAATACATGAACTCACATGAGAAACACCAGAAGGTTCAACCATGTATAGCTGTGGTCCATCTCTGTCATACCCCCCTAATATTACTCCACATCCAAAGGGCCTGGAGCAATTCATCCTCTTACAATATTTAGTTCCAGATGCACAAAGAAAGCTCAGGGAAATGATACCCAAAAGAACAGCAATATTTTATACAATCTAACCTGAGCCACCAATACAGTGTACATAGATGAACATAACTAGCAACACGGTCCGCAAGCTCTTTCACAGGAATTGGCTCTCCATACACACTGCAAAAGCATCCCGCAGGACAGGATACGTAAATAGTGAGTACATTGACTAGAAACTGCAAACATTGCATATTTCCTAGTAACTACACTATTTTGATAAAAACTACTGTCTGATGAGATTCAAGGTTCCCAAGGCAATTGAACATGAATATAGGGTACATTTTTTTGGAACTGAAGAACACACATAGCTCAAAGTAGCTATTGTAAAATCACAGCCAGTATTGTGTGATAAGATTTTAAGGTTTTAATTGGAAATTATACACCCATCCACACCAAGAATACAGTCATACATCAAAACATTTACAGCAAATAACTTCATAATTAAATAATAGAAAGCTAAATGACATCTTAAAGAGCTGAAAAGCTCTTTCATCTTCTTCATAATATGCCAATTAAGGAAACTGTAGCTAACAGTTTCCTCTTCGCTCAGCTACAAGATGTCTTTCTTATTTGCAATCAATAACTATTCATTAAAGGAGTTGATGTAATTCACAAAGCTCCCTGAAAGAGCACAATTAAATTTTATCATCAAAATGCACTACTTCCCAAGTCATAATGCAGTACCCAATGCAACCTGAACTGCTAAAGAGCAAGTGACAGTAAGAGACCAGGAAAAATATAAAAAGAATAGGAACAATTTCAACATGACTCAAAAATTTAAAAGAGAGGAAAGAACAGATCCAACAAAAAGTTTCGCTGCTCAATTTGGTCTGCTTTCCATATGTCAAAATTGGAGAAACAATGCAGTTTCTAGTATTCAGGCAATAATTGGCAAAGTTTTTAATCTAAAGAAAAGCAAAAGCACTCTATCCAGATTGTCATGATACCCAGTACATGCAGACTGACTTAAACCTGGAACCTTGAAAAGGAACTTTGGTAATAATTGATACAAACCCCCGCATTATAATCTCAAAGAATAATTTTTTAAGATTTTCAAATGTAACTTTAAACTTTACTAAATTGCAATCAATCCCAACAACTTCCCATGTGTAAGGATGGCTATAAACAGAGTCATGCTGGTACTCATTTCTTGGTGACTGAACAAACACTATCAGGAAAGGCTGTCAGATTCTTCTATATGAGCAAGTTTAAGGTTAATAGTTCAATTTTAACGGCACGGGACATGTCAAACCACTAGGAAAATATGCCATCTTGATAAAGAACATATAGGACCTGTTGTGCTAAGAGACAAATCGATGCTAGCATAGTATTTGAGAATAATAATTTGATGAGACAGAACATTCACAATCTGGAAGTAATATGGAAAACTCATACGGGTAATAATCAGTTTCACATTGATTTCATTAGGTAACACGAGGTGGAAATACAAGGTAGTCATTTTACTTCATACTATTCTTTTTCCTTGGCAGTATGAGCATCGCACTTCCACTGCCCATCTTCTTCCTTCTCTCTGTGTTCCACTTGGGATGGTACACTGGTCTAGCTCTTTCCCAGTCATTTAGCAAATCTCATTCCAAGATTTAAAAGCATAGCAACAACTCCTCAAACTATACAGAACAGTTGGGACACGTGGTTGAAACCACATTTTTCTTTAGAAATATGAGAATGTGTTAGGTGCTACTTATTAATTCACGTGATATATAAACAGCATTACACATGATTAACGAAGGAACTAGTGCAAGGAAAAAGAGAAGTATCAGTAATAGGAACGCTCGAGATACAAAAACTTTCAGCAAGTAAAAGCTCAATTAACAAAAGCAGAAGATTAGCAAGGCTAAGGCAGAAGCTTAAGAAAACCTTTCGTAATTGGTTGCCTCAGATTTAGCTCGTGCAACAATTTGCCTCCCGTCTGCAGCCAATCCAGCAACGGCCTGTAAACCGGAGAAAGAGAAAGAATAAGAGAGAGTCTAACTAGAACAGTCAAACCAGATGGATGTGGTGTGGTGGAGGCATGGTAACAACTAATATCGGTGGGCTTCTTACAACCCCACCTCTTTTCCCAGCCCCCCCCCCCAAACACAAAAAAAAAAAGAAAAGAAAAGAAAAGGGGCCGTGAATGGGAAGGGCGTAAGGCGCACAAGCAGTCCGTCCACTCACGAAAAAGTAGCAAAATGGAACAGCAAATAAGATAGAATAAAATAGAGCAGAAAGCGCGATACTTTACCATGCCGGAGTGGCGGTGAACAGCATGAATTCTCCGATTGGACCCGGGCAGCATCATTTTTGACGCAATGAGCTTCTCCACTCCCTAAAGATATGGTACTAGCATATTCAGTTAAGGACAAAAAGAGCGATCTTTAATTTCTATGAAGGAAAATTCAAACGGTTGGAAGCCCTAAGTGCGATTAGAACGGAATACTTTAATAGCAGGAAGGGAATTTTAACCAGGACAACGCCGTCCTTGCACTTGATGCCGACAACGGTGCCGCTGTTGTCGACGGCCTTGGCGGCGTACTCGATCTGAAAAACCCGGCCATCAGGGGAGAAGGTGGTGACTGATAGGTCGTAGCCTGTGCCTATGCTGCTCATTCTACTTTTGCGAGTATTCTTTTTGATTGCTGGCCGTATTCTGCTTCCGCTTACTGTTTTTGCAGATTTACTCTTTAACAATAAAAATTGCTTCGTCTTCTTGGTTAGTGTTTGTGTGGGTTCTCCTCTTATTGAGAGGATCCTAATTCCTATGGGGGTTTCTTTGTCGCCAAGACAGTGGTTTAAGAAAAGGCAAACAAAAGTCCTTTTGGGAAAAAAAAAAAAACAAACAAAAGTGGGGAGGCTTGAGTCGCGACAAAGAATAAAATTCAAAAAAGGAAAAAATAAAAAATAAAAGCACTTCTTCTATAAATACATGCGGACTAATTCTCAGCATTTAGGTGGGGAGACAAAAATACTACTATTAGTAGTAGAGTCCTCAATAGTTTGGTTTGCCATCCAAAAAACAAATGGAGACCAAAATTGCATTTTTCCCTCTTCAAAGTGTGTGGACTCTGTTCGATTGGATATTCTGCAGTAGATTATTTGACATAATTTGATTTTAGTGTACTAACTACCCATAGCAGTAATTGGTCGGGTTCCTAAGAAAGCGAGCGAACTGGCTCGCTCCCTCTAGCCATGAACAAGAACAAACTCCCAACCGCAACACAGCTTTGAGCTTCCCCCCTTCCAGGAAAACAGAGCAAGCAAATACCCACCAAGACTTCAAACGAAAAAGGGGCAGCAAAGTCAAACAACCCAAACCATCCTCCGCCCCCCTTTCTCCTTCCAAGAATGAGAACAGGGAGTGAGGGCTCAGGAAAAAATATGGAATCAATGGGGGTGATGGGAAGGAGATTGGTGTTGGTTGCATCAGATTTCGTTATATCCTTTATGTGGGTTTGGTCAAGTGTGCTGATCAAGATCTTTGTGTACAATATCATGGCCTTTGGAAGGGATGACGTCCAAGGTGAGATCTTGAAGCATGCTCTTGCTGTCATCAACATGTTCTTCTTTGCCTTCCTGGTCAAAGCCACCAAAGGTGGGAGCTACAATCCACTCACCATCTTCTCTTCTGCTGTCTCTGGCAATTTCACCCAGTTTCTCTTCGTTCTTTGTGCCAGGATTCCTGCTCAGGTGCATGCTACTCTGCCTGCCACTATTTTCTTCATATATTTCTTCTGTTTCTTTTCATACCAATTTCCTGTTGGCTTTAATTACTTCATAACTTAAGTTTTCTTTCCCCAAATTATTCTGTTGCTTCTGTGGGCTTTTTTTTTTTTTTTTTCTGCAAGATGAAAATGTGTAATGTGGAAAGGGAATTCTACAGTAATTGCATGACACCAAATGGCTACTCCTTTTCAATTTGCTAAAATTGGCCGTGCCTTAACTGTGTAATTATGGGTTTGACATCTATTTCTAAATATATGGTGATTTTCCATATTCAGCTCTGATCCAGGTGAATCCCTAATTGATGCTTTTCCAATTTTCTCTGTCAAAATGTTTGATGTCCTGATATTTCGTTTTATTATTTAAATGAACTCAACACAAGGTGGCAAACCAACCCAAAACTCAACAACAGATTGAGAGGGTTTCTACTTGAGCTACCGAATCATTCCTCCATACCACCTCCACCATCCCTCAAGAAAAAGGAACTCTACAATCACTCTCTTGTGTGTCTGTATGTGCGCGTTTGTGGTGGTATTTGTGGCCATGCAGCAGTAGATGGCCCTTCTTTGCCGTTAAGATTCTAGCTGATGGAAGGCTGTGATCCAACCTTTTGATGTTTCTTTTAAATTATAGTGATATATTAGTTAAAAGAGGAATACCGGTCACATGGTTTGATTATTGTACATTGTCGTTTTAAGAGAATGCAGAGATTATTACAATTGATTAAGTTCCCAACTCGGTTTGTATTTTTTAAGGTTAAAGTTTGCAAAAAACAAAGGACTTGATACATAAATAGATAATAGATGTCTTAAAGGCACTGCTAACTTTTCGTGGATTGGAAATTTGAGCTTAAATTTGTGGTTTACTCTGATAGATCACAATGTATCTTTTACGAGTTCTTTCTGTTCTTGACAATTGAATTGAACCATAGATCTTTAATACCCTTCCTCATTGGTGATTGATATTTTCCTTGGTTGCTGCATATTGTGTTATAAGCTAGTATCGGCTTTGGGACTAATCCGACGTAGTGTTTCAAGAATGAAAGGGATTCTTTTTCGTAGAGGCTAACATGTAATGATAGTTAATGTATAATCATGGTTAAGTGCTTTGAGCTGCCAAGATGACAACATGTGCAACGGTGGATATTGTGTTCCAAAATGTCATAACTTCTATTAGGTAGACATACAAGTTAACGATGGTAGACAAACAAGAAACGTGATTTCTGTTATGCTTCCGAGGTTTTTTATAACTGAATGAGCTTAAGTTACAATTAGGTTGTTGGATTAGACTTTCTAGAAAGAATTCTGAAGATTTCAACCTTGTTGATTGGGGGCTGTAAAAGATAGGAAGTTGCACTTTCAGAAGTAGAGCTGTTAATAGAGGTCGCGAGCCGAGCTCGACCCGGCTCGATAAGGGCTCGACTCGGCTCGTTTACTGAGAAAAACGAGCCGAGCTCGAGTTGTATATATACTTGTCTATTAAACGAGCCGAGCTGTGCTCGATTCGCTAACAGCTTGACAGGCTCGAATAGTAGGGGTGTTATCGTAATTTTATTGTGTATCTGATAGTTTTACCCTCTTTCCTTTTCTCGATAAGGGCTCGACTCGGCTCGTTAAACTCGGCTCGATTTTGAACTCGAGTTCGAGTTTTCAGCCGAGTTTGATGAGTCGATCTCGAACAGCTTTTGAAGCTCGAATTACTAATCGAGCGAGCTCGAGGTAGCTCGAATTACTAATCAAGCGAGCTAGAGCTAGCTCGATTGGAGGTTCGAGTCGAGCTCGATTATCATGTGTTCGAGCTCGACTCGGCTCGATTAACAGCTCTCGGAAGCATGTTGATGATTGCCATCCATGTTTCACAATTGATTAATGAAGAAGTTAACGGTCATATTAAACAAATAAGGTGAAAAACATAGTAGTCTCCTTTAAGCATATTATGATAAATAGTAAGCCTTTTTATAAAGGAGAAAGTATGTGTACCCTTAGGTTTTCCATAATTACTAAAACTTCTTTTCTAGTTTGATATATTATAGGAACCTCCTTATAGCCTCTTCTGTGATTACACTAGCCTTGCTTGTCATTAACTCCTTTAGCAACAGTTTACAGTTCGGATTACTGTTGGAATTTAGAGCATAAACTACTAAACAACACTTAGGCCCCGTTTGCCAAGTGAGTTTTTTGGGTGTTTGTTTAAAACTTTATTGTAGCTTACTGTAGAAGTTGTAGAAAATTTTTTTGAAATGTTGTAAATTTTTGGATATTTTGAAGTGTATAGTTTAAAAATTTTGAAAAGTTTTTTGAGGTTACTGTAGCTAAAGTTGTTAAAAAACTTGTAACAAACAAACTTGGCCAAAAACTTGCTTATTGTTACAAAAATAGCTGACTAAGACTTTGTATTGAGGGTTGAAAATGATCTTATGTTCTTCATTCATCAGCTATTTTTAGTGTTTACAAGAAACAAATAAACATAATTTCCAGCTAACAATTCTCCAAAAAAATCTCAACAAAATTACTTTCTAACAAATTAACATAATCTTCTACTTAACAAATCTTAGCAAAAATATTTTTTAACAACTCAGCATCATCTTCTATTAACAAACATCCTAACACCTAGATTTATTGAGCAACTAACTAAATTATTCTAGTACTAAAAGGAATCTAGAAAATCTGCAAAGAAGTTGGCATATCTTAACAATTACATAAGCATAAACATTAAAATAAAGACACTTGTTATCCTCTAGTAATGTGAAAACAGTAGTATCTTCTCCAGATTTTGTCCCATGCTCTTTCTCACTCAGTTCCCCACTCCATATGTAATTCCCCCTCTCTGCTTCCACCACATGCTGTTTTCTCTTTTCTGTCATCCACTTCTTCCTAATCTCCTCTTCCACCTTCCTCTTGCTCTTCCCTCATCTGGCTTTTGCCTCTCCCACCTGTAAAAGCCTCTTAATGTTTTAATTAATAAGTATTCTTCATGCGAAATGTTGGTCAATCGTATCAATTTTCTACAACCCAAATTTGAATTCTTTTTATGTGGATTTTTACCTTAGCTATTTCAATTTTGATTTGTTAGCATTTGATTCTTAAGGCCTCTTTGGTAGAACCTTTTGATCTATAAAGATGCTAATAACCTTAAGTTTGCTTGAAACAATGAAGCTTTGAGGGTTCTGTTTGCTGTTTTGTGGTTTGCCTGAGCTATTGTGTGTTTGTCAGAAATGAGTTGAAGTATCTTTGTGCAAATGCAGTTCTAAATGTATTTGCTTATGTGTTCAGGCAAAGTGTGGTGGTAGTGGATAAAACAGATTTGGTCTTGAAGTATGGGTGTTGGTGCACCAGAGCAGTAAGGGTTGATGGTGTTATCGATGAGAGTTGGATATGATGGTGGTTTGGAGGGTGAATGGGCATAGACGAAGAGAAGAGCAAAACAACAAAGGAACAGGGAAAGAAAGAAGGGGAAACATATAAGAAGTAAATAAAATAGGAATCCCTATAAGAAAAGAAAATAATATGTTAGTTAAGAGTTTGTTAATATTTTAAGGGCATAATGTGTGAGTAACTTTTGGACCTAACATGGATGTGGTAAAGGAGGTCGGTGCAATTCCTTAAACCAAACAGGAGGTGCATACCCAAAATGAAAATGGAAAAATCGTTATCAACAGGAATGACTGGGATAGAATATCACTAATTAAGTTCACATGGTGTTTAGTCAGTCCAAATTATAATTTTCTGGAATTTAGCATAATACAATGCCTTATATGCCTCCTCTTGTGCAGCAGGGAGGGTTTTTCTGCTTTTTATGTTGAGTTGCAATTGCAAATTTGACAAGTTTATCTATCTTTGAGATACAGAGTGGCGGTTGATGTTATTACAGCAACTTGAAGGTGAATGAGACATGATAGGGATTAAAAGCCCAAACTTGATATAAGACTTGTTTAAGTTACAATTTTCTTTCTCTTTCTCCCCTTTCCTTGGTGCAATTGTCCAACAGATATAGCTCTGTAGCCTGTTTCTCTGTGTTAACTTGAGGTTCTTGTATATATGCCATAAAGTTCTTCAAATTCAGCAACATGTGACAGATGCAGTAATTTTTTGCTCTGGAAAGGGGGGACGTGGGGACAGAGCTAATCTTTACATTATGTTGATGATGACAGTAGTATAGAATAACAGTCTGATAGGTAGAACAATTTAATTTCTGCTGCTTCTTTTGGGGGTGGGAGTGGGGAGTTGCCTCAGACTATCCCTATCAGAAAGGCAATGTATTATGCTGCTTTTGAGTTGCATGCATTGGAAAGTTGGTGCATATAACCATGAAAGAAGAAAAAAAACTTAGTGAGATGGGTTGAAAGAAGAAGAGCCTGCCAAAAACTTATTATTCACAGAGAGTTGAATATATTTCTGATTGTCTTCTTCATACCAGGATTATTTGCTTATTAGAGTTTACTGCAATAATTGGCTCTAACCATTTATATCTAATTTTTCTGCTTGTAGGTCCTTGGATCAGTTATTGGGGTCATGCTCATCCGTGAAGCATTTCCTGCAATTGGAAGCGGTCCACGACTCAATGTGGACATCCATCTAGGTGCATTGACAGAAGGACTTTTGACATTTTTTATTGTAATTGTGTCACTTGGGCTTGCCAGGAAGATTCCTGGAAGTTTCTACACGAAAACCTGGATTTCAAGCCTTGCCAAGCTTACTCTTCACATACTTGGTTCTGATCTAACAGGGGGATGCATGAATCCAGCATCAGTAAGTGCATAACTAATTTTTTATGTTATTTCTACCATTAAAGATCACATTATGGGGCCTAGTTTTCATTTGATGATATTTTCTAGGTGATGGGTTGGGCCTATGCTCGTGGGGACCATATAACCAAGGAGCATATACTTGTTTACTGGCTTGCACCAATGGAGGCAACTTTGCTTGCTGTTTGGTTGTTCAAATTGTTAATGCAGTCACAGGAAAAAGATAAGGCAAAAATAAAAGGTGAAAAGTCAGACTGATATGTTCTCCATCGGAACCTCAGATGCTTGAATTTGTAAGTACTCCAGTAGCCTTAACATGTAGTTACCGGCTTAAGGACTGAAATTGGAAGGGAAGATTTACTTTGTTTAGGTCTTCATATCCTTCTATTTGCAGATGTAATTCTTTTCAAAGCTGTAGAAAGAAGATTTCCCATTATCTCTCTCTCTCTCTCTCTGATTGTATTTGCGTGCACGTCTGCAGGTCCCTATTCATTCTTATGTGAGGTTTGCTTGTCTCTATTAGTTTGGTAGGGCTTCTTATGCAGTCCTTAATTGGTACTTCAGAACAAGAGTATCCGTCGCTGTGCATTTAATTTTAAAGCAATGTTTGCTTTATCACAGAACTATGAAGTGATTGGTTATGATGAACAGCAGGAGGTGACAAAACCTGAATGAATAAAGATGAAATCTTGTACATGCGGAAGTTGGGTAACTTCATACTGGAACTTTGCTTGTGCAAGACCCCGGACGGAATTGATCTCATATAAAGAAGGATTGCACGTTAAGTATAAACAGAATTATGCCAATCCTCCTTGAGAGTTGATATCTGCAGTTACTAGATATTTCAAATCAGTTGTGTCTATCAAGAATTCAAAGTTGGCATGTTATATTTGTTCAGCCGTGATTCATAATGTAGTTATTCCCATTCCACGGAGTTTGAAGCAGGTAAATGCTTCCTTATTCGAAGATAATCAACTGAATAGAAGTTCTTAGTTTGGAGTGTATGTATCAATTATTAAAGTTCATTTAAACAAACAGGAACAGCAACCAGTCGTGGGTCTATTTGGTTAGACGTAAAACCTTTCCTTGATTTTTCTTGGTTCCTCCCATGTCCTTTTGCTTCCTTGTGAGTTCCATAAACGTAAAACTGGTGATACAAGTGATGCCTTAGGCTTTTTGCACATTTTCAAAGCTTCCGTTTTTGGTTGTCCAAATTTCTGTTCTAACATGTCTTGGGGGAGATAAAAACCTCACAAAAGATTACAGATGGAATAACGTTGTATTACCATAATTAAATGAATAACGTTGTATAGAGATGGGCGTTTGATGTTTACTCCTCTCTGCTCTTCTCCTATGTTTAGCAACAAATAATCTGATACAGACTCGTTGAGGTGACCTCTGTTTTAGGACACCTCAACGAAGTTTCTGGTTCAATACATCTCTGGAATGGGAGACATGATTAGATGGGTGAACAAAGCATATATGTTCAGCATAACCAAGTTTCCTCAGTTTTACAGTAGTGTTCTTGTTCTGTGACGGTAAAAAAAGTATGGGGAACAACAGTACAGTGCTCCCTGCAGACTGAACAAGAACATCTAGCTTTTGTACCTAAAAGATACGAGCTTACTAATAAACAAGTTGTGGCTCAAATTCTGCAATGTCAACAGAACCAGATTCAATGGGTTTCATAAGATATGTTGCCAATAACTCAGAAGCCAGAGCTGCAATAAGGGGAATCCTCTTCAAGTTCTTCACTAGTGAAATGTCTTCGCTCTCCCCAACTGCAATCAGTTTCTGGTTGATCTCTACCATCCGGTCCAACCTCATCTTAAACTCAGGGTTCTCAACATCGAGTACAGCAGGGAAAATTCTAGCTGTTGTGCGGTTCGTCTGCAGAGATGAACGAACGCCTCAGGTTTGAGATTTTTAGCATCCAACCAGCTGGCTATCTGGAATAAAAGGGTAAGAAATTTAAGTACTGAGATTGCAGGCTCACCTCGATGATGACATGCATGTCAAATTCTTTTGTGTTGAGTCCGATGCCTTCGTAAAAAGCTGTTCTTTGACAATCATTGAGATACATTGTCACATAAACCTGCATTGCATTATGTAATTGAAACGATGTGAGGGGAGACAATCTGGACGAGCAAGAACCCGGTTGTTGTTTTGTGGAGAACAATCAATAATGTCTAACAAAGCAGGTGGAGTATTGTTATTACCGAAAGGCAGAAGAAGCGTGCCCACAACTTTGCTTTCCAATCATTAAGGAACTGAGGCTGCGCCTTCATCAATGCAGAGAAGAAATCTCCATGGCGGTTCTCATCCTGGCACCAGTTCTCGAAGTATTTGAAGATGGGGTAACATTGATACTCGGGGTTGGCCTTAAGATGCCTGTAAATGGTTATGTATCTCCAGTACCCAATTTTCTCAGACAAGTAAGTGGCATAGAAAATGAATTTAGGCTTGAAAAATGTGTATTTTCTGGCTTTTGTGAGGAATCCCAAGTCCAGTGCCAAATTGAAATCCGATAAACCCTTATTCAAGAACCTGCACAAGAAATTCAACCAAATGCCGACAAAATCATCAGCACTCGTGACGACATGCTATGCAGACGTGTGTGCGCGTGAGAGAGAGAGATCATACCCAGCATGGCGAGCTTCATCTCTAGACATAAGAGAGAAAATCTCAGCCACCACAGGATTAGTTTTCTGCAACAATTGATAACTCATAGAAGTCAAGAACATCAGGATTTATAAACAGCGAAGGTGTTCAATTTGTACCCCAGGATTTGTAAATGAATGAATGCACGACGAAATTACTTGATAGTCAACAAGCTACTTCTATCACTGCAAACGATGCATATACTAAAGGAGAGGTTCAGCCAGCAAGAGTGATTGAATACTCGAATAAGACAATTGCAGAAGCAGCAACAGTCATTACTGTTGCGTTGAGTTTCATCCCATTCCCATGGGCTGGCTGGCTATAGCATGCTAAGTGATTTCTTCTTCAGAAACCGCCAATCAATCAATCAAGGAGCAACAAGAAAGATGGGTGGAATACAAACAAGTGGTGAGTAGTAGGAGGCAGGAGGGGGGGCGGGTATATACTTTATATCTATACATTTACCTTGAGCCTTCTTCCGAGCTCCTTGTAGAGAAGGAAACCAGAGAACTCGGCGGTGCAGGACCTCTCCAAGAACTCGACAAAGATCTGGCGGAGAGGGCCCTGCATCTTATCGGCAGCCTCCTTGAAGTCCTTGTTGCGGACAAAGTGGGTCTGGTTGTAGTCAGTCTTGAACTCCTGGAGGAGGGCCTCAAACTCGGCCTGGTTCAGGTTCTTGTTGATCTCAGTGTTGAAGAGGGTCTCCATCTCGTCAAAGTCGGTGGTGTAGAATCTCGGGGTCAGCAATGTCTCCTTGATGCCCTGTTTGGAGGCTTTCTTGCTTTGCCGCGGGGGTGCACCACTGCCACTGGTAGGGGCGGAGGTGGACATCATTCTGATCATGGACCTGCTGCTGCTGCTGCGGCGGCTAAAACTTCCACTCTTGTTATTGTTGTTGTCGTTGTATATTAGTGACATCCTCCTGGGAGTGGCGCCCGCGAACTTTGAGATGGGCTTGACTAGGGCCATGTCTGCTGCTGCTGCCGCCATTGTCATATTTGTTGATGATGATTTTAATGGCAGCAGGGAGTGAGTGTGTGTGAAAGAGAGAGAGAGTTTAGTGCTGGGAATTTGGAATATGGATAGACGGTCGGGAGGGCAGTGCAATTTTGCAGTCTGCAATCAGCACTGAGCAAATAAGCAAATGTAATGTTGGAGGGAAGGAGGTGGAGACGTCGGGAACAGGAATCCTACTGTCCACCCAGCCACAGGACGATTCTGAGACTGTAAAATTCTACTCCGACCACACAATTCTTGTCTTGATTTACAAATAGGGAACAAAAAAACAAAACAAATTATTTAAGATTTTGAATCTCATCTTCTGATCCAGTAGAAATCTACGGGCTTAAGTGGGTTTTGACACGTCGGATCTCATCATGTACCACTGCTCCGTAAGGACCATTACATTTGCTGACTTGGCTCCCCACTTCAACTCGTTGTGTCTTGTGTGATGGATATTCTGTCATCCTCGATTTTCCCACTCATCCCATCCTCCTCTATCCACTACTACTTGTTTGGAAAGTAGTAGACTAATTACTACCATATGCAAATCTTTTTTTATAAAAATTCTAGTATTTACTTACCCTATTCAGTTTTTTTTTTTTTTTGAAAATCCCTTTTCAGTTTTTTTTTAAATTAATATATATATATATATATATATAATTAATCTTTCCTACACTGACAGTGTATACATTGTCAGCGTTAAATGAATGATAACTATGCAATATACCGGCAGTGTATACACTGTTAGTGTTGGATAAATGAGTGTTGGATGCAGTGACGGAGCCAGGATTTTTTTTTGGGGGGGCCAAAATTTTTTCCTAATAAAATTATCTTAATATATTATGTTCAAAATAATTTTCTTCTATTTAAATATATGACATCTAAAAATATCAAATATTAAATTTAATTATAAAAGTATGTCTATTCATAAATATGCGGTATAATCATAACAAAAATTAACAAAAAAAATAACTTTTGATTAAATATCTTATAACATCACAAATCATCCAATTTGCACATTATGAGAAGATGCTCTCCAATATGTCACCCATGCAATTTATATATATATATAACCATGTAATATAAATGTAACTATTTTCAATTGAAAAAAGATAAAAGTTATGTTAACATAATTTGAAATTTCAATATCTTTTCTTAGAAGTAAATTGAGTTCTACGCTTTTTCATAGAACTAAATTCATCTATGATTGAATCACTGCTAAATTTTTTAGCAACTTCCTTTTCTATATACACAGTTAGACAATCATTCAAGAAATTATCTTGCATCTTGTTTCGGAGTTTTGTCTTGATTATTTTCATAATTGAAAATGCCCACTCTGTAGTTGCAGTTGATATAAAAAGAGTAACAACAAGTCTAATAAACTTGTCAATAAGAGGATATATCACTGATTTTTTTGTTTTCACCAAGTCTTAACATAACTCATGAATACCAGATAATTCTTGCAATTCATGATGATTTGGAATGTCGAACTCAAAATATCGAAGTTCTATTTTTAGACGTACTAGTTCTTGCTTTTAACAATTATGAATTGGGTCTTTTTAGCCCATTAACAATTATGAATTGGGTCTTTTTATTCTAATACATCACATTGGATCAATTTACTATGGAACATCAAATTATATGTTTAATTTTTGAAAGTTAAATAATTAGTACCATAAAGAATAAATAACTTTTTCTGAAGAAAAAAATTAATTCAAAGATGACTAATTCATATATATATATATATATCTCAACTCTCATAATATAAACTAAAATTGTAAAAATTTAGGGGGGGCCAATTTTATTTTACACACATATTTACATATTATGAATTAAAATTTTCAAAACTTAGGGGGGGCCATGGCCCCCCTCTGTCCCCCCTTGGCTCCATCATTGGTTGGATGAATGATAGTTATGTAATATACTGACAGTGTATATACTGTTAGTGTTAGATGAATAACAACTAGGCAATATATAGCAGTGAATCTGTGGATAGATCTGCATTATGCAGGACGTAATCCAACCTGTTGATTACATTACGAAGCGACGTTAACATGGTTTCGTGGACATTACTAACCTGTCCCATGTTTTACTTGCAAAAACCCACGCTTTCTGGTAATTTTTATGAAAAGGAGAGTTCTACCGTCATAAACTGTCCTTTTAGGATTCATCTTTTAAAAACTACCATATGGTAAAATACAACCCGTGCCTCCTTCCGCTCCTTTGAATTCATGTTGTAAGATCTCTTATCGGATGGCTGGCCTTCACCATAGAAAATCCAGATATTCTCTCAATAGAGTCACATCTTCCCCTGCTACTGGTTGCATTTGAGGCTGAAATTTCCAGCTTCCAATGCTTCAATAACAAAGTCTCTCGGAAAGTGTCAATACTTTACAAATCCAGGCAACATCTCCCATGGGCAGATTGTTCCTGAATAAACAGGATCTTTCCCAATAAAAAACTTCGACTAGAAAATTTCAATACCAGTAATCCTCTACTATCTCTGTCAAACTTACTTTCACAGAACCATAGGAATGGAGAAATAAAAGATAAAAGAGGTAAACTGGAACGAACAGTGAAGATAAAATGAATATATGCAAAGTCAGTCAGCAACTTAACTACAGTATTCAAGCTTGCATGCCTGTCATCCGTTTCTGTGCATTTAAGAGTTTAATTATAAAAGATCTGAAAGCCCTTAATCATTCTGATCAGGCATTAGAAATAACACAAAGGCAATGTCTGAAATTTGAGGACCTCATGCAGCCATCTCAAAGACATTAAACGCTACCATCTGGCAACAATCAATATCCAGATAATCCTTAAGCTTTCAAAACTGATGCAACCTCCTGAAGGCAACAAATGATGCTCTCACAGAAAGGAATTATCCAGTCTAAACAACTGACTGATATTTGACAAAGGAGTTTTTGCTCGCAATACCTGCAAAGCATATGCAATTCTATCACTTCATTCAGCCCCAAATTGTATGTCAAGGATGAACAGACAAGTAGTAAGGGAGAAGAAAGTATTAGGAAGTAAAGTCCAAATATATCTAACCAACTCCATGCTGCTGACTATCTGTGATCCTATCATATAGCTCGCTATAAGAAGGTACTAAAGTCATCCTTTAATGTTCATACATACAACTTAGCACTCTTCTCAGATGAAGTTTTGGCATTTAATTTTATGTTGGCACTTAGCAACTTGAACTCTAATTTTTTCTGTTCAATAATAGGCCGTTCGACTACTAACATCTTGGGTGAGCTTCCTTTCAATTTTCAACAAAGGCACAAAGCTAAATTTCTTATTTTCTAGAACTTTTCAGCTAGGGATTTCCAATTTATGATAGCCACAATCTAGAAACTCTCAATTCAAGATAAGTAAAAAAAAAAAAATTTTTTACTACAATATGCCATGTTCCAAAACTCAAAATACATTATCAGCGAATTGGTCCAAAAAAGCAGCGTGTCAAAGTATTTTGGATTGGAAAGAGAGAGTCAAGAATGTCACCTTGGCTTTATACTTGAATAGCTACTACACTCATGCTTTAAGTGAAGCCAGATAAGTCATCAACGTTGTCCTTCCCCTTAACCCCATTATTGGTTGTGGAGCTCCTGGGAGAGTCTTTTAGTTCTTGTTCGACAACAAACAAATGTGGTTCAGGATCAGCCTTTTCATCTCTTATTGTGGATCTCCTTGGAGAATCTTTTGACTCTTGCTCAAGAACAAATATTGAAGGATCAGAACCATTGAGTTCCCTCTCCTTGCTCCTGATATCATCCTCAAAGTGATCAAAACTCAAGTTTCGCAAAATTTCAGGAATTGAGATGCCACCCTCTTCTACAAGCTTAGTTCCCATCTCAATATCAATTTTCTCTTTTGAACTTGTAACGCCTTCTACATCATCCAAATTTGTAGGCTCTACCACCATATGCTCATCCTCCAAAACTAGTCCCTGGAAATCAATCACTGAAGATGGGATCTTCGAGAAGAAAACTTCTTTGAAATTACTAAATATTCCCTTGTTATATGGATTCTCCCTCCTATCATATCTATACCTGAAGTTCTCGTATGTTGTCTGCAATATAAGAACAGCAGTTTAAAGACTTGCATGAGATTTAAATTCACAATTTACCAAAAGAAGTAGGAAGCAAATTAAAAATCTATCTGAGAATGCCTCCACTGTAGAAGTAGAATTAGTTTGGGGTAGCAAACTTCTTCCCTTTGCGAGGAGGATTGGATATTTTCATGTCAAAAAGGGGGCACCCCATTGAGAGCATGAACTAGTTTATATGTTTAAATTGATGTATTGAAAATTTTAAAACTTTCCTGCTAATGGTGTAGAATGATGCATCCCTGCATCAAAATTCCTAACAGACCTCTTGACAGAACACTGTAACTATCCGTCAATAGAAGTCACTCTATCAGTTTATTTGTTTTGGAAACATTTTCTCGCGGGCATTTGCCCAGCTCAAAAGATTTTGCTCTAGTTGCATCAAATGAGGTGTGTCGAGGATAAGGATTGTGACTTCAAGTTTCTCTGTGGAAAGTAAATCTTCATCATTTAAATAATGCAAGAATCCTGAAAATTTTTCCTATTCTTTTTATTTATCATCGCATTAGCACAGGTTGCTCAATGAAACAATGAGGGTGTATGTTAACTTGTCTCATTTTCATTGGTTAATAAATAATGTTAGATGCAATACGAAAAAGTAACTTGGATCTATTCTTTTTATTTACCATCCTTGACAGAGATAAACATTATCATGGCAGACTCCTCCCATAAAGTAAAATTCTTGTCTGAATTTGCAATTGAGGATAGATGTCTTCTACCCAGTAAGTAATATTACACTGACATAATGAAACCTGGAGAACACAGACTCTAACCTTCTGGTGACAAATGCCATATGGAAAAGTTTGGATAAGATTGACCAAGTTGTTAAACGTTTAGAAAGTTAATTGCTGAATGCATATTCAGTTCAAGTTTATACACAGGCCAACCAAACTTTTAAACTTTGTTGCAATTGATTCGATAAGTCAGATCTAATTGATATCTTGAAAATGGTGGTATTTAACATCTGAAATCATTTGAATAAAAAAAAATCTCAGATAAGTCAAAGATTTTTGAATTCTTTGTTCAGAATACATTGTTCCTGTGCTAAAAACTCATGCAGATAAATAGAAGAAAAGTCGGATTTTAAGCAGGATAATGATAGCTTGCTTTGGAATATGTTTCTCATCTCTCAGACATCCTCCATGTTGCTGTCATATTGACAGAGAGATTTTAGTGCCTTGAAAGCTGAGTAATAAGTATAATAGCACAACAAATTTCACACAAATGGCAAAATTTGCTGCAAATGCAAGGCATAGTGCTATAGGTGTTACAGTTATAAGTTCCAAACTCTAGATTTCATCATTTTTTTCCTTGAACTACTATTTTGTGGCACACTCTTTGGCAACCAAGTTTTCAGCATTCCCATTTATTACCATTTTCTATGACATGGACTCTTTTATAGATGTAGTTGAATTTTCACTGAACTATAAACCATTATGCAGAGAATCTATGCTTTTGACCAAGTGTGATACATGTTATACATATTATAAATATGTGGAGGATAATGATCACCTGGTTTGTGCTGATCAGATAGAAATGGAAAACTGAAAGGCCACCGACAAACCACAGGGCAATGAAGCAATACACAATTAGAAAATCTGATAATATATCTTGTGAAATAGCCCTCCAGATACCGCCTTTTCTTCGCAGAATGTTGATCCAAGAGAACCCAAATACATATAGGCATAAGACGGTTGATGTTGATATAAACATGTAAAAGAAACGGTAATTGCGCTGCAAAAACATCAACAGGAAAGGGTTTGTCACCTATTACAAGAGTTTTTTTGGTTGGGGTTGGGGGGGTTAAGGAACTTCAAGGCAGGAGAGAGGAGAGAAAAGTCCCACACGCCTAACATGGGGTTACTTCCAGGATACTTCAAGAAAAGTTTTTAACAAGTGACCAGTGGATCTTTAAAAGAACTTCATATTAAACATTCACATTTTTCATTTGAAATTGGTAATTGGTTGCATCACATATACAAGTAAAGGTAAACTTCTAGAACTCGCATATACTTGATTGGAACCTCAGTACAAGCACTATATAGAACTCTAACATATCTAATAAAGTTGACGATCCTAAAAAGAAACAAGCAGAAATAGCTGTCCCTCATGGACAGTTTCTGGATTAGATCTTGGGAAAAATAAGGCAAGCTCAATACTTACAAGTCCAATGCATTGACCAACCCAAGGACAGTGATGATCAAATCTCTGGACACAGTTGTTGCAGATGGAGCAGTGAGATGCACGGGGAGGTCGATAAAGTAGGCAAGTGTCACAGTATTTGACCTTAACTGCATGCCCATTCACGATCACATCCATTGATCGGGGCAGTTTCAAATGAGGAGTTCTGCCACTGACCCACTCCATGGAAGGAGTGTTCAGATCATATGCTTCAACTGATTCAGGTGGCGAAGAATTTCTAGGGACAATTCCAGGATCTCTACTCGAGGTTAAGAAGAGAAAAGTTATATCCTGCACTAGGGATTAAGAAATTGTCAGCACAACAATGTCCCACTCTTAGGAGTGCAAGTCCAAGGTGCCCAAGACCCGAGCTCTCCACATATTCATCTCTTTCTTTTTATTTGGAGAATGAATATAGCTACATTGTCATGTGAAATAACACCCACGCTCCAAACATGACAAAATGCAAAGAGGTAGATGTATACTGTAAAGAGTAGAAGTAAATACTAGCAAATCCTGCTGGTGATCACATGCACTTACCAGCAAGGTGAGAAGTGATCCTATGACAAGCACGGGATACCAAGAAATGGCGGGTTTGCCTTCTTTAATGTGATGTCTAATAATGAAGTAAACTTTGATACAAAATGCAATTGCAGGGACTGCGATCAGGGCCGTCGATACCAGCAAAGATGCCACTTCTGGTCCAAAGATTAATCTTCCTCCACAGAAGAATCTCTGAGAACATAAGGAAAATATGACAGCCAGAGTGGTGAGAAGCATGTAATTAACTATTTGATATTGTCATGTACAATCTTAGTGAAGTCAATGTAGTTTGCCATCGGAACGGGAGGATGAGATGCAACATGCACTACCAATCACCGGAAAGATTGACATATCACCGTTGGCGCCACACTTGGGAGTGAGTGATTGATAAAGAGAAAGGATCAATAACGGAATAAAATACAAAAGATGTATGACTAGTATTTGTCCTGAAACAGAGACATCCGAGGTCTTGTGCATGAATTAGGAGTTGATGATGAAAGGGGCATATGTGAAACAGAAGTGAACCAAATTTTAAGTAATAAAAATTTGAACTTTCGTTTAATAAACGGTTAAGGCTCATAACCTAACAACCACCGACCGTAAAAGCGAAAAAAATAAGCAGCCACATGCTAGTAGTTTCCGACAGAGTTATGGTAGCTAAGGAGTAAATGAAAATACCAGATTAGGTGGTGTACACAAGTAATGTTACACGTATTCAACTGGGAAAAGGGATGAATATATAAACTACACTAGAACAATCAGTGAAATGAGAAGCTCCGATCATAATGGAATGAGTCCAGTAGTTGAGAAACAAGAGAGACGACGCATGCATAGATAGATGAAGAGTAGCAGCAGCAAACTTACATTGTTCCCCTTCCAAACTTGATAAAGCCTCTTTCTTGGTCTGGGTTTTTGTTGGGCCATCATGACGATAAATACGCAAACTTTCTGTCACGGGGATTAGTATACCACTCGAGAGGAAGACGGCAGAACCAATCTAACAAATCAGAAAAGTGGAGAGGTTAAGAATCATGGAGTTTTTTCCTTGATCAATTGGAGTGGGCGACAAGAAACAGGGCTGGGCAGGCAGACGAGAATGATGGGTTCCGAATTCCTGGGAGGAGCGGCCGTCTTGTGTGTAATTGTCTGGAGATTCTCCTAAAAAGGCATTGGACGCATTGCCTGTGATGACGGCAATGCATCAATATGATGCATTGGGCAAGTCTTTTGTTTCCACAGATGATGATGATGATGATGGCTGGCCTGGCAGAGAATAGGAGAGTTGGAGAGGGAATGTTGCTGGGATTGATCAAAATCCAGCTACCTTCCTTTCGCTTACCTTCCTTGTCTTTGATTTTGCCTTTTGGACGGAATTTCCCAGGAAACTTCAAAACAAAATTAGAAATATCTGTGTATGTATATTACAGTGCTATATATTCTTTCTTGCCCCAGCTCCCATGCTCCTGTCTTATCCCTCTCGTTCCTTTAATCCTCCATATGTACTACGTCTACGTGGGGAAAAATGTCTTCTAGTCTGGCACCCAACGAAACCAAATATTCCCCAATGCCAGTTGTATCGGTGTTCCCAATTTACCAGCTCTAGTGTATTAGCCTATAGTTGTAGACTTCCCCTTAAAAAGAAAAAGAAAACTTAAAAGCAGTAATGAGTAATCCCATGGAATGAGGGCGGGATTAGATTACTAATTCTACGCAACGGATCTTCTGTCCCATACTCTGTGCCATTCTCTGTTTCATTTTTTATTATATTGCTATTTCTGCTTCATAAACATCATGTTTTAATTCTTTTTTGTTTCCTTAAAATCCAATAACTATGGCTCCGTTTGAATTACCTGTTTTTGGGGTTGTTTCCTTAAAATCCAATAACATCATTGCGTTGCATATTTAATAGAGTGTTTTTATACCTTGGCATGATGTATCCCATCTAATCGAATTAATTTTCCATATGGGGATATAATAATTTCATGGGTAGAAGGTATGAGTTATTCCGAATGAAAAAGAGATTGGATGATAACGATTTTTAAGTTCATTTACGTTTGAGTAGGATAATGTCAACTACAAAACTATTCTCTCATATAACATTGCTTGAGTTTTGGACTAATTTGCCCCTATTAATAACGTAGCAAATTTTTGAATAACTTTGCCCCAACTAATAAAAAAAAATTAACTTTTGGATTAATTTGCCTATATTAATGATATAAATTCATTTTTGGATTGATTTACCTATGCTATTAACAAAATTAAACTTTGTAATCATTCGCTCATATTAATAAAATAACTTAAATTTTGGATAAATTTACCCCTACTAATAAAAAAAAATTATGTTTTGACAAATTTACCTATTTTATAAATAATGAAATCACTAAGTTTTGGACTAATTTATCCATGTTATTAATAAAATTAAAATTTTTGCCCCTACTAAAAATTTTAGATTGATTTACTCCTACTAGAAGCAAAAGTACTAATTTGATCACACTAGTTAATTATATAATCACATTCTCTGATTAATTTCAATTGAAAAAAGGTTTGATCACATACTCCATCGCCGAAGGTAGATAGCACTACTACTTAATTTGATCATCAGTCATCATCTCCACAGAACAAGGCAAAACATTTGATTTATGTGTGTGTGTGCGGGTTGTTGGGTTCGACCGGCCAACGTGCTGGCACGCCATCATTTTTCTTTTATTAATGTGCGTCCAGTTCAACTTCTTCGTCAGTTTCATCTTGCTCCTGCTCTCTCTCTCTCTTATATATATATATATATATATATATATTGTCGATACGATAAATTATCCTATATTAAGGGGAGGGGAGGACCTGAAGTGGTCCAAGGTAACTCGGAGGAGATTGAATCACCATCGAACTAAACGAATGTACTACGCATCCGTCTGAATTTTTTTAAACAGAATCACTTCTAATACGGCAAATGGGTGCCACCAGCCCAAAGGCTAGTCGTTTGCTCTTTCTCTCCCTCTCCTATATATGTTAATTAATAATGTCGCATTCTGACGATGAATTCCATGTCTCAGAACAGAGCAGCCTCCAACAACTATTTGGATTTTAAAAGGGAAAGAGGTGCTCTTATTCATTTATCTTAGTAGTATTTTTTCCGTCTCATTGAAATAATCGTACTTTCCATTTAGGGATATTCCAAAATATTTATCATATTGAAAAAATGAAAGTACCTTTTAGTCTTTTTTTTGTATATAGCCTTTCTTTCTAATCATATAACGTATGCAAAATTGCGTATGATTTAACGTAGAGTTGCTTAGTTTTACAGATTAGATTATATCAAGACAATGCATGGAATTGGCGCCATACTCAAAAAATCGAAATGTAGCATCTTTGATTTTATTTCATTAGAAATAGAAGTAAGTTAAACTAGATTAGATGTGCCCGTTACATTGAAAAAAAAAAATCTTTGATTTAGTAGTAGTAGTAGTAGTTTATGGTTAAGTAGGTACAACAGCACGTCTCAGCCCATCAATCATCCATATTTATTCGATTCCAAGACACGCTTCCTTTGCTTTAGTACCAGTACTTTGTTCAGAAATGGACATTTTCTTTGCAGTTAGCTCCAAATAAATTTTCCTCTTTTTAAAAAAAAAAAAAAAAAATTTGGGTGTACGATACGACAGTCTTTTGTGCCTCTAGGACATGAAAGAAATTAATACTATAAGTAACTATATATGATGATATTGAATGTTGTCCAGACCCAGGCTAAGCCCAGAGCTGGCGTAGAGGCTGCTCAATTCAGGCTTTTCCTCCAGTTTCCTAATAATCTAACAGACGGAGCTTCTACATTAGTATCAGGTCCAACCTAATCGATCACTTTGCTCCCTTTTTTCAACCATTCAGGACGCAACTGCATCAGCCCAGCCCAAGAGCTTCAGGCTACGTTCTTATTTTTGGTATTTACACTAATTAGGTAGCGTTTTCTTATTTTTATTAATGAATAAAAGCGTTACAATTTATGTAATTCAAATAATATTTGGAAAAAAGAAGAAAGAAAAGTTTGAGAACTAGGTCAATCAGTCGAATCGGATCACTGATTTAATCGAATTTTATTTGATTTTTTACCAAAGCGATTTTGTACTACGAATCAACTCGTAAAAGAAAGTCAGTTCACAGGTCGGAGACACGGTTCGGTCCGAATCTAACAACACTCTGATAACAGCCCCAAACGAACAAACGCTATCAAACCCCCCCATGTTCTTCCCTTTTCTCCCTTCCGGTCTAAACGTATACATACATGCTGCAAAAAAACATTGCATGCAGTTTTACTTAGAAGTTTAATGTCCACATAATATCAGCAATGGATTTTCTTACATAGTCTAAAATGTGTCTCTTTAGCCACTACAATACCAAAAGAAAAAAAAGAGAGAGAGACGTGTTTCCAGAAAATAAAGTTTCCCACCCCAAAAAAAAAAGGAAAAAAGGAAAACGAAACGAACAAGAAGAAAAAAGAATATAAAAACATGTCGTTACCAAACAGTTTACCAGAAGATGGCCTCACTTTTTTTTCTTTTTTTTTGGTCTGCTTTTCAACATATAAGAGTATCCTTTATACGAAGTCCAAACAATCAACTATTACGTACCCTTCTGCTTTCCACCATCATCTTTCTCGTGCACTTTGTCCCTCCTACACCCACACATCAAGAAGGCAATAAGCCAATAAGAACTTGCCTTGGCCATTTCAACGTACATCCATTCTCACAAACAGCCATCATATGTGGACATCAGACGAGTTACACCTGCCCCCATAGATTATCCATTCATACCTGAAAAATGATACCACAAAGGTCGACTGTAAGTACTATTGGATCATAAGAATCGCTAGATCAAAAAGATTACATGCCAAATAGTAAGATTCTCTTAGATGACAAAGAACATTGGCAAGCTTTTCCTCTATAGGCTGGTGTAATGCCTAGACTAGCTAAGCAAAGGTCTCACTCAGGGGAAAATATTGCAGAAATTATAATTTTGCTGGTGAGAGACCTCAGCAGAGCATGAAGATAGGAATTTAATTTGTTCATGACACTGCTTTATTGCATCTTAAACCAATCAGGCATACAAAGTGGTGAATATTTTTGAAAAACAAAAGGGAAGCAGAATACCTCTATCTTTGAAGAACTGCTGATGAAGCCCTCTGGGAGCTGTTGTCAGACCTATCATCATCTGTGGAACATTCTTCATTCCTGGTTCTCCACTGTGGGTCTTTCAATTCTTGAGCATTAGCAAAGAGAAAGGAATCAAATTTAATATTTTCACCTCCCTCCTTCTTCAAGCTATCACTAATGCCATTATAATCAATCTTCTCCAGAATGTCTGGAAGAGGGAAAGGACTATCCTTGCTATGTTTACCTCCCATTTCTATGTCAATGATGGCCTTAGGATTGATAGTATCCCCACAAAATTTATGAGATATGGATCCCCTGTATGTATCATCTTCTTCAGTCACCCATTCTCGAAAATTCACTAGCACTGGTGGAGCCCTAGAGAGAAAGATTTCTCTCAAGTTCCTGATTATCCCCCGATTGAATGGGTTTTCCTTCTTATCATAGCGGTAACGGAAGTTCTCATATGTGGTCTGTTAACAAATCTGAATCAGAGCTAATGCACACATTCATTTTCTTCTTCAATGGAGAAGAACATATTGGTATTGGGCATCGTCATAGAAAGTAGTATTGTTTTTCAAATACATGCCATCCATACAGCTAAAAGTGAATTTGGCTTTTAAGATATAACACAAATGTGGACGTTCTTAACAGCAGACCATGATTAATTAGAAAGTGGAAGTGTTCACTGACATTAAAAATGTCAGTTCTTCAAGAAATAACAATACCAAAACACAATTCAAGACTAAAGGAAAATTAAAGTCACAAGAGAATGAAACAGGAAAAAGACCTGCTGTTTCTTAGCAACAAATCCTAACATGAACAACATAAAACCTCATGCATTTCCCCCGTCGGTTGCAGTTTCTTTACTTTAACTGTTGGTGAGCTGCTAAAATCTAAAAGCGTTCTTGTGATTCTCTTCTAGAATGGTACCATGTCCCATGGCTCAAAACATCATTAGCCTAATACTAGAACCATTCCTACTGATCGAAATGACAAACTAATCATGCCAACAATGGAGATGGTCTTTTTTTTCAACCTAAGTTCAATGTACATATGAGATTTCCTTTGGCCTTGAAAGCACTATCCTAGCTTGCTTCCTTTCACAGGAGTCAAAGAGCATTCAGGAATGTGGACTTAGTGGACAGTGTGTATACAATGAACTTCTTGCTCCCATCACTTGCATGTGCTTTCTTATATCTGAAGGAACTAGCTATGCATACTTTTCTTTCCAGGAAATCAATCAGTCTTTTTTAATTCTTTCTCAACCCACATCAATCAGTGTTTTTTAATTGCCTCACTCCACAATACTTTTTATGT